AGTATCCTGAAGAGTAACGTGAAGCTGAAGCGTTTGTGTATCATCTTCTAAATAAGTAGAATAAACCCTTACACCTCCGAATTTTCCTTCTTGGACGTCTTTGCGAAATTAAAGAAGGCTTCAAAACAAAATAAATATTGTTATTCAGTCACTTAAAATTCTACTCTTAACATAAAATTGAGAATTGCGTGGCTACAACTTCCTGACGTTAAAGAACATCAACTAAATGTCTCTCTTGTGGAATAGCGAAAAATTCTTTTCCGTTCCTTCTTTCCTACAGAAATAATATTTTCACTCCCATTAAATTCGGCAATGGAATACTGCGAGCCCTGAAAAGTGGAAGTGTGCTGATTGTACGCTAAAACGTTACAGTGTACAGACGGTTTATCCTGCTTCGGGCAAGCTGGGTTGCATTAATGCACTTTTCGATGCATCGCTGGATGAAACTACTCTGCTTAGCAGAGCTTACTGCCTCGATCGGCCAGATTCAACCGAATAAACTTTTCGATACCCGTAGACGAATCGTTGTAACTACGCCCGTTACTTTGCCATCTGCAGTTGTACGTTTCCCGAGTACAAAACTACATTTTACACGAATTTTTTCAGGGAACAGTACCGTGAGGGGATGGAGAAAAAATAAACAAAACGAAAACATGGGAGGAATATTAGAGCGATTCTTGGTGGTGAGTTTTCTTGCTGAAATTTGATGATTTTGTATTCTCACAAAGATATGAATACTGGGAGACTGTCATAATTCGTCGGAATTATGAAAACGATAGCGATAGAAAATAACAGAACCGAAAATTGCTTTTATCGATACTGGTCCTTTTTTTTCTCAGCATCGCCAATAGAGGGAGAGCAGCGGAGTTCAAAAGGGTAAGCGAAGAAGGGGATGGCGAAGCTTTTGCGTAGGTTGTTGGCGCCTAGACGAACACCCCTGACTTTCACAGATTCTTGTCAGAGAAGAATCGTGTGAGTAATAGTAGAGCATAATTTTACGGTTTGAAACCGATGGCGTCACGTTCGGCCTCGTTTCTTTGTTTTTTTATTGTCATCGTACACGTTGAAAATGACTGTGCAATTTTTTCCATCGATTCTCACGCGATACCTGGTAATTTTTTAATTTGCGTATCCGGTGAAGTACTCGTAGGCGCCTGATCGTCGACAATAGTTTCAGTTTCGGTCAGACATGGATCCAATATGATTCTAACGATAGATAACGAATAAAACGTTTATGTAACTTCATCGAGTAACTTTCATTTTTATCTATATAAAAATTATTTCTCGATTTTTTGTTCCGCTTAACCATATATACAGAGAGTTTATCGTTGAAAACGTTGCGTCATCCTACGTCGTGAATAATCCTTTAGCTATATTCTCGTTTTATAAATCTATGGCTATGCAATCTACAAAAGGTAGAATTGAGAAATATTCTACCTTAGACAAGTTTTATTAAAATATCTATGATCTAAATCGGATATTTTCTTAATAAACAAAATGATATCGCGATAAAACGCATGGTTGGGTCTAGAGATCACGGTTTCGAACGGGTATTAAAATACACGGGTACACGGAACACGTGTACCGTGTACTAAGAGATTACGAACACGGATATTTTTAATACACGGATACCCGGGTATTGAAATACGCTGACACCCGGATATCGAAGTACACGGGTGCCCGGGTATCAAAATACACGGATATCCAGACACGTACACGTGCATCGAAATATACGGATACGCATACATCGAATTATTCGGGTACAGTATCCAATTATTTTTATATACAAACTTTTATGTAACAAAAGATTTTATTCTAAAATAATGATCCTTATTAATTTTGAAAAAATTGATAAGCAATAAAACAAATAAATAAAAAAAAAATAAACATAAGTCGAATAAATATAACAGAATAAATTTTTTAGTGTAATTTGTAAAACTTTATTTATTAGTTAAAATAACTGTTCAAGTCAATGTGCGTACCCGTGTATTTCGATGTACGTGTACGTACCTGGATATCCGTATATTTAGATACCCGGGTACCCGTGTATTAAAAATACACGGATTAAAACACGGATCTATTAATTGCCCGTGTACCCGGGTATTTCGATACACGTGAAGTAGGGATCTCTACATGGTTCCGACATCTATGTCCTATCTATGAATTTTAATCCATTTAGTCTACGTACTTCGCTTTTTTCTTAAATGACATATACGCAAACATATTAAAATGCAATGATACGTAATTTAAAAGTAGTGATTCGTAAGATTATATTTTGTTCAGTGAAAAAAAACTCTGTAAACAAAAGTCATGCAACTGGCGGGAGAAGCTCATTGGTTCCTCGTGTCTCCAGTCAGCAGTGTAACGTAGAATTGACGCATAGTAGATCGATAAACATGTACTTTTATTTGAATTACCTTATCTTTACATATCTTTTTCTTATTGACTCTTCTACTGCAGAACTGTAACTAATACATGTGAATCTTGTATAACCTATAACCTCCATTGCATCTATATCTTCTGATTGTAAGTTCAGCGTCTTTTCAGTCCTATCGCAAGTCACCTGGCTTGATTTACAGGGATTTTTTCTCATTGAACGAAGTTTAATAAAGAGTAATTTGTTGATTGGATTAACTATATATTGTGAAGTTTAAATAATACCATCTAACAATACTAAAATGATAGATGACAATAAAGATGTAACGGAACTTTGCGACTTAGGTTTACGCGGTATAAAAGCGCGACATCTCGCGTCAGAGTTGCGAAACGTATTATTCAAGTCGATCGTGTTCATACGTACCCAAAACTACGAAAATGAGACAGAGATAGAAGAGTGAGAAAGATATAACGAGAATCCGCCATACTGAAAAAGACAGAAAATAAATATTGAGTCAGAGCGAGAGAATAAAATACAAGAACTGCAAGAACAGCAGAAGTTAGAAGGGAAAGACTGGGAAAGACAGAGAGCAGGAGAACAACTGCTTCTGCTAATCATCGTTGTAGCAAATTATCCGATATTTCACAACACTGATTACAACCAACGTTTCATGGTGAATACTCTAGTTTTCCTTCCCTTGAACATATCGTAGTGTTTGATATTTTAAATTCGGGTCGATAGTTCATGTGAATTTTACAAAAAAATGTCGTTTGTGATGGATATTTTGTTGCATTGATGGCGTGCCTCCTTGTTTTTGTAAAGGAATAACTTTCAACGAACAGTTCGATTGTATGTTGATGTTAAATAAAATGAAATAATTTATGAAGTTCTTGCTCGAGAATTCTGTGAATCTGTTGACTTGTACTATCGTGGAAAAAGATATTCACGACGAAATATTGGAGCACTTCATTCTTGCAAAATTATTTTTGTTTTTATAGCATTTCGTTCACAAATGTATGGTGTGACAAGTTATTGGAAACCTGTTTCAGATGCCTAACATCAAATTACAAAGTTCCGATGGTGAAGTTTTTGAAGTAGATGTTGATATTGCAAAATGTTCAGTTACCATAAAAACTATGTTGGAAGATCTGGGAATGGACGAAGATGAAGAAGAAATTGTTCCTCTTCCAAATGTTAATTCTGCCATTCTTAGGAAAGTAATACAGTGGGCAACTTATCATAAAGACGATCCACCTCCACCAGAGGATGACGAAAATAAAGAAAAGCGTACTGATGATATAAGCTCATGGGATGCAGATTTTCTGAAAGTAAAGAATGAACCTTTCTTTTGCACATTATGTGTCAAAAAATGTTGGAGAAGTGATGTGTATAAATATTTGATTATTTTCATTATAGGTTGATCAAGGAACTTTGTTTGAATTAATTTTGGCAGCTAATTATCTTGACATTAAGGGTCTTTTAGATGTAACATGCAAAACTGTTGCTAATATGATAAAAGGTAAAACACCTGATGAAATCCGGAAAACATTCAACATTAAGAATGATTTCACGGCATCAGAGGAGGAACAAGTTCGCAAAGAAAATGAATGGTGTGAAGAAAAGTAGAGATTAATGTTCACGAATATTCAATATTTTGATTTATTATATTAAACATCCAGTTATAACGATTTAAAATTGAACAGATGATGCACCTAATGTATTATGTTAAAGGATATCTTAAATAATAGTCTCATTATTTTCACTAAATGCACCAAATACTTGCTAACTAACATGAATAGATTAGTATTTTAAAAATATCAAAAACCACATTTATGTGTGAGTGGTATGTTAATCTTAAATTTTTTGTATAACATTAAATAGTACTATTTATCGTGTGTAGTAGGAATTACAGAGCAATTCACATTACTGTAACATTGTTATCTTTGCTTAGTGGTATATAAGATCTGCAAATTCTGTTTTGTCTGTATAGAATATATGTTCAATTTCTACTTTTGGCGATTTTATTTAAGCAATCCTCCCATGAACGTGTAACAAAGTAATAATAATAATTCCATATAGTCACGATAATGTAAACCAATAAATAAATTTTAGGTTAGTTACAAACATAGAAAGAAAGTTGGAAATTTGAACGTTATACGATATACTTAACAAGAAAGGTAAGTGAAACCTTTTTTGCCTTCATTTAATTACCAAATGATAAACAATAATACTGAAAGACAGTTCAAATCACCTTTAATCAAACTTCAGGTACTATTAGTACTACTAATATTATTGGTATAAATACTATTGGTATACTGTGATTAATATTGAATATTATAATACAATAGAAACGTTTATTATCTGAATTAGTGATATTTTCTTTTAATCTTTATTATATCGTATAATGTTGGTACCGTAGAGGTTAACAAGACTGCTTATACATAACAGATAAAGATTTCGAAGTATAAACAGTGTTATCAAATGTTATCATGTATTATATGAAACGGTTGTCGCTGGTCGGTAACTTATTTAATTCTGAGATATATTAATAAACAATATTTTCTTAGAAAACTTGTGGTCAATGATATTTTCTAGCACATTAATAAAATAAAGGTTATTTACGAAACTGGAAATATTAAACGAATAAAGCATGCAATTAGTATAAAAATAATTTGTTGAACGATCTATTTCTCAATTAAAAATAATAATAATTCTTTATTCAAGCCATATGTCTTTTATAATTTTATCTTGTGTTTTTTTGTAAAACTCTAGTGCTGAATTCATACGAATGAACAATTTTTGATATCGTGTGTTGTGGAAGTGTGTGCATCATTTACTGCACAATGTTAGATGGATCAAACAAGACACAAACTGTCTTGTCAATCCAGCAGCAGTTTAATATCGTACAGAAACTGCATAACACATGTAAATGGAACGACCTTGACAATGTAGCAATAGAATACCATGACCTAGAAAAAAACATCTATATAAATTATAGAGAACTTTTTGCTGCAAAAACTATGCTTTTTGATTTTTTGAAATGCATAGAATGCAGTGAATTTATTGGCATCAATTATGATGTTCCTAATTATTGTGTTGTCTCTTTGATGCTTGGGTAAGGATTCAAAAGTAACACTATATTGCAAATGTTAGTAAATACAAAAGATATAAACAATGGAAACTTTGATTATTTCTATTTTTTGTAGGATTTTAACTAGTGAACACAGTTTTGTGAATATACCATCAAATGTAACAGAATATAGAAATTTACAAAATTCCTTGCACATACATTATTTATTTTGTAAGCAAATAACAGTTGAAGGAGATGTTCTAAAGCAATTCTCAATACACAGTGAATGTATATACTTTATAAAACTGAAACATATTAAACAAAAATGTACACAAAGCCTTGAACCAAATTATTATGCTTATGCTATTACTACTTCTGGTTCAACTGGAGCATCAAAAGTTGTTAAAGTGTCTCATGCTTCCATAGTACCTAATATTCTAGATTTAAGCAGAATTTTGACTATAAACAGTTCTGACAAAATTGCTCAAATTACTAGTTTTACATTTGATCCTAGCATCATTGAAATTTTTCTTGCTCTCTCAAATGCTGGGACATTGTTTATGGCTTCAAAGTCATTGAAAAATAATACAAATAGGTAAATAAATACGATAAAATATATATTATTGCCAGTATTATTTAAACATAAGCATCTTTTGCTTTCAGATTCTTAGATGAGACTTATTATAGTAAAATTACTATACTGCAAATGACTCCATCAAGTTTTTTGTATAGTTGGACAGTTGAACGTTTAAAAGCCACTATTTTAAGTAATGATACCTCTCTTAGAGTTCTCCTTTTAGGTGGAGAACCTTTCCCTAAAATAGAGTCACTTCTTGAAGCCAAACATCCACATAATAATACAAAGATTTATAATATTTATGGTATCACTGAAGTATCTTGCTGGGCTAGTATTAACGAAATTGTAACAACAAATCTGCAAATTAACACACATTGCTTAGGGCAATTGTTATCACAAACCATGTTTCAAGTTAGGGATGAAAAGGGAGAAATAGTGACAAATGGTAGAGGCTTTCTTCACATAGGTAACTGTTATTTAGTGTTTTCATAATGTAATTATGTTGAAAAAAATATCTAAGTTTTATGTATTTACGTACAGGGAGTAATGATAGGATTTGTGTAATAGATCACGAAAGTACTGAAAATTTAGAACCACCAATATATCGCGACACGGGCGATATAGTTTATGTATGTATATATAATGTTGCTAAATATTTTCCATTTCTAATTGTACATCTATTTCAGATTGATGAAGGAGGTAGTATATTTTATAAAGGTAGAAGTAACAGTATCATAAAAAGATTTGGAAATAAAGTAGATTTAACAAAATTAGAAGAATGTGCTTTACAAGTAGATTTTGTTAAAAATTGTTATGTACTATGGGATGAAAGTTCTAACAAATTACATTTGTGTTTAGTTACTAACAAAAAAATAAACCACTGTCCCAATATGAATATTGATATAGTGAAACATTTACACAAATTACATCCATTGTATAGGCCAGACAAAATTCATTTTTTAAAACATTTTGAGTATAATTCTAACGGAAAAATCTCTATAGAATTTTTAAAAGAATATATCGAAGAACAGATGAATAAAATCACAGACAATGTTGACTTCCAAAAATGTGAAAACCTATTTCGATCCCTCTGGAAAAATAGTCTAAAATGTGAAAACAATGGATTCGTACAATCGGGTGGTACATCGATAATAGCGCTTCAAATATCACATACTTTGTCCAATGAAGTGAATGTAGAATTTCCTGAAATCATCGGCATGCTTCTGAATAATGCTACTGATGATGATTGTCTTAGTTATATAAAAAAAACTTTATCGAATAATCCTAAAGACAAAACAATCAACCATTTGGAATATCATTCTGATAATAATCAAACAGTATCTTTAGTTAACGCCACCACGAATGTAGAAAGTAAACATTCGAATTCAGTGACTATGGCACCTGAAATTTATAAGTATCAATGGCATAAGTGCAGGGGACAAATACACAGTAGTACAACAATTACAAACGAAAATCTTAAATTACAATATAATATAATTTCAAAGATCGAAATAATAAAAACGTATGATTTACGAAAATGTGTAGATGCATCCCCAACTGTATTTCACTATTCAGAGTAAGTGTAAGTTCAACAAATTGTATGAAGCACATTCTATAATTTAATGAATGATTGTTTTATTTAGTGGGAAAACGTATGCGACAGTCGGTTCCCATTCTGGTCTTCTTTCTACATTTTACTTAGAAAAGGAAAGTTGCATTCCTCCATTTACGATAAAATTACCTGATAGAATCGAAGCTTCGGTTTTAATTTTAGACGATTTTAGGGGTATAGTAGGTGAGTTTTTTAATACGCACAAAATTTATCTACGCTGCTGAATCTCCTCTCTTGCAGGATGTTATGACGGCAATGTATACTGTCTAGATTTAAAAATGGGATTAGTTATCTGGAAGTATCAGACAGGTGACGTCGTAAAATGTTCCGCAATATTTTGTAAAGAACGGAAGACAGTATTTGTCGGTTCCTATAATCATTATATATATTGTCTCGATGTGAAGGTACATACACGTATTTCCTTTACACCGCGTTTTAAGAGCCTAGCTGATATGAAATTTCAATTTAGGATGGGTCCCAAATTTGGAAAGTTAAAAGCAGTAATGGAAGTATTAGTGCTTCCGGTTGTTTACACTCTCGATCGAATTCCGTCTTATTTGGAACTTTAGACGGCTCTTGTTTAGCTTTGGAACAGTTGTCTGGAAAAATACTTTGGAAACATAAAATGACGGATCCTATTTTTGTTGCACCCGTAACGCTAAATAACGGGCTCGTCTTAATTTGTTCTGTAACAGGATTACTGTCATGTTTCGATATCGAAAATAATGTTGAGGTAACGAATACTATCTCAAGATAAGCTGCACAAGAAACACAAAGAATTGTTTTGAATTTATGTTTTGTCTTTGTAGATATGGAAATACAAAGTCAATGGCAATGTGTTCTCGTATATTGTGAAGCATTATGATCAACTTACAGGTTGTGAAAATATTATTCTGGCTAGTCAAAATAAGACAGTGTATTATCTGCAATCTACAGATTCAAGTTTTAGAACTGAGCCTACTTTAAAATATGTATTGAACCTTCATTCGCCAATTTTTGCCACTCCCTGGTGCGAAGGTAATATTTTATTTATAACATGTACAGATGGTACTCTATACATTTATAACTTTACGACAAATAGACTGCAAAAGGTTGAAAAACTTCCTGCCGAAGTTTTTTCATCGCTTGTAGCTGAAAATGATATCGCAGTCGTTGGTTGCCGTGATAATAATGTATATGTCATAAAACTTATTGGCGAATAAAGGTATTATTTATTTTTTATTCGATGTTTTCTCTATTGGTTCATAATAAAGTAGTTAGGAACAACAAAGTAATGAAATTAATACAATATCGTTTGTTTATTTTTTACGACTGTCACATTACAGTTACGTGAATAACACTTTAGATAATGTAATGGTAGAACATGTATCCGCCTTCCAATGAATTTCGTATGTGATGCAAATTCGCGGTGCGTTCACGGTTTTAAGCAAGAATGCAAGCAAAATAAAAATTCTGAGAAATAGCCAATCGCTCTTTAACGAAACATTCTCGCATACATAAATGCAGACGTATAGCAGTTCCAAAAACAATGCGTATCCGTGCATAATTGTCTTTTTCCTTTTTGTTGACGCGCCCTCTTAATCGATGATTGTGTCATAAATATTGGACAAGGAAATTCTGGTTCTCAAGCTCACATAAAATAACAACGTTTCAACGATTCCATCATTTCTATATTCTCATTCTTATATATCTGAGAATGAGAAAGAATATACATATATCTATTTAATTTATATTTAAATGCTTGGCCGCTTTTTCAACCTTCTTTTTCCTAATAGTTCGACATAGATTTCCTCCTGTAATAATTCTTGTTACAGGCAATTGTTCTTTGCGAGTGCTTTAACTTATGCATATTTACTTTGCGTTTCCGTTTAATATACATATTTAAAATTTTAAATAATATTAGAACTAAATGTGCAGAAGTATGACGTACTTTCTAATTCTAGGTCGCGGCATGCAATTTAGATACTTGCGTGTAGAATTCATTTTTTTTTAAAATTACCTCTAATCTTGTACCTCGTGTTGTAACGCATTTTCGACTACTGCAAATAGCAATACAATTATAGGTTTCTTTAACATATACAATCTCGATAAACAATATCCTTATTTGTTCCTTTGATAGTGAAAATATAATACATTTATAAAGTCGCGATAATCAACGTTAATACGTTTATCCTTTAAAAAAAGATCAGTTACGATAAATGCATAGATACAGATGGTGTATTTTTTTTAAAAATCTGTTCAAAATTTGTGGAAAATGTTCGAATGACAAACGGTACAGGTTTAATATCGATTATTTGTGAAAAATGTATCTATGTACGTATTTTAGACGAAAATGCAAAAGGGGATAGTAAATGCAAAAGTAGAATGAGATTAGAACATAATTGAAAAGTAAAATACAAAGAAGAATGCCTTTGTTTTGCAATTCTCCGTGAAAGAGAATCTAGAATTATTAGGCATCGATCTACTAGCAGATCGCATCTCCACCGAGACTCGGATAAACACCAACGTGTCAGTAGGTACGCGTTAAATTACGTTGCTCACTCATTTTCCTTTCTTTTTTTATTTCATTCTGGATGAACTAGTTTCGAGAGTAACCAGTCTTGGTAATTGTATTACGGTTACTGGTCTTCGTCACCCAAGTTTTGTTTTACTTTCTCCAAGTCGAATTCTTCGCCAGTGGCCCGCTTGAATATATCGAGAACGTCTAAACAAGTGGTTTCGAAATGCGTTGTGGCATCGTAACTCGTCGATATGAAGATTTGACTATTCAAACCATCGTCGGTTGGCTCCATGTACTCTGATACTGATATGAATTTTTGTCTGATCGGGCCGAGTAAATCCAAGCCAGGCTTAATCTCAATTTCTGGGTTTTTCGTTTCAACCGTGGTAGACACCATTGCTATGAACCATCCCTTCGCCGCCACTTGATGAGTATGGGATACTAAAGATACATAGATATCGGAATTACGGTTAACCTGTGGAACAAAATACATTTGTGATTAGTTCAGCCATCTTCGAAACACCAAATGCGATCAAAGTGTACGCTCGCTTACTTGTTTCTGCGGAATAATAATTTGCGTTGAAAGAGCATCTCCCGTGTTCGGTATAGGATGGTCTAAGAGGCAAATGCATCTTATGACCTGACCTACTTTCTTTACACGATCAGGTACATACGTAGGATCACAAAATACTTGTTTGCATTGAGCTATCTCTTCGCCAGAACGCACACCAACAACCTGTGCCAAGAATCAATAATCAAGTTCAACTGTAGATCGAATAGATCGTTGCTTAAGGGGGTATTATCGACTAGAAACTTCAAAAATTCGATTTTTTTTTTGCATTTTCTTATCATTTGGGGTTTTGAGAAAGTGCCTCTAAAATATTAATTTGAAATTCGTAGAGCTCTCATAGTTACAGAGGCTTAGAGGCTGTTCACCAGTATTAGTGCTAAATGTATAGCAAACTTTAAACGCGTTTTTCTCGAAACGACATTTTTCAAGTCAGGCGCACGTTTTTCTCAAAAACTATTGGACCGACTGACTTCTGATTTACACACATTTCGAGGGTACCATCACCTATGGTCTGAACTAGAATTATACCGATAGCTTGAATATTTTAGCTCTGCTCTCATATTTTAGTTGACAATTTTCCGGAAAAATTAAACCTTAATTTTCAAACAGCTGTGATTCCGATAAAAAATTTAGTACTTACTTAATTCTAGTTCAGACGATAACTACATTCATATAGATTGAAAAAAAAGTTTGTTTTTCTGTCTCAGACGACTAGAACCGCCACAGCCTGTACGCCCGATTGAACGAGCGTCTCACGCCACAACCTGCATAACAGTGTATAACTTGTATAGATTTCAATGAAGTATTTCATAAAAATTTGTGTTGTTAGTTGAAACGTGTTTCATTATGCATACAAAACCCTGGTACTGTAGGTTTGATAGTTTTCGAAAAATTAATTCCTAAAAATTACTGAAAAAACAAACTTCTAGACGATAATACCCCCTTAATTATAAAAACGACCTAATTCTTACTTTTCCGTCCTTTACGACAATTTCGTCGATCGGTTTGTCCAACATGTACGTTCCACCGTAAATGGCGCTGAGTCGCGCAAAACCTTGAGGAAGTTCACCCAATCCGTACATAGGATAGAGATACGGTGATTTTCCATAACGTGCTAAACTATCGCTGTACAATTTAATTCTTCTTATAGTAGTAATTGCGCGTTGGCTTATGTAATCATCATCCCTGAAACAGCGAGATGTTTAAATTCAATCATCATCAAACCTCTAACCCAAAGGGTTAACGTTACAATCCTTTAAAACAAGTTCATTACCTATAAAGTGCTAGCGCGTGACCCGTAAAGTCTTGGGTATTTTTGTCGAGATTGAACTTGTTGTACAAGGAGCTCATGCTACTGTTGAAAGGATCGAAACCGTCCCACGTCTCGGGTCGGTCCTCTTGCATGTTTTGCACCCACATCAGAAAACTGCGGAAGCGTCTCTTCTCGAAGAGACCCATCAAATCGCTGGACAGCGCTTCCTGTTGATCTATCGGCACCTTCGAGATCTTCCCAGACTTGTAAACGTACGATCCCTCGACGCATTTGAATTCCAGGTACCGTGTCACGCCTGTATGAATTAGAAGCTTCACCAACAAGCCGTTCGCCATCAGGAACTTGGGAATCAAATCAACGTTCCATTCGCGGCCACGGCCGTAGCTCTCATCCGGTGGCGGGGCCTTGAATTTCCTAGATAACGCAAAAATATATTTACGTGATAATAAACGCTTGGCGTCGATCCATTTCGAAAGTCAGCTTTAACACGACGCGGTTCTATGTCGAAGGGAGGCTCGATAAAAATTTATTAAAATCGAAAATTTGTATTTAGAGGGTTAATTTGTATAACACTAGGTTTTCTCTTTAACATTTTTGTTTTAATAACAATAATTATTAACGTGAATTTAATGGGAATAAAAGAAGATTGATGCAGCGACCTCCAAACGTTTTTTAGTAATTTATGAAGCACCAGCAATCAAGTAGAAAATTTCTCATTTACTCTGATGGAGTAAATCCTCTGGAAAGGTTAATGATGCCCCCCTACGCCGTTCTAAACATAAAACTGCTGATAAAGCGAATTCTAAAGATACGAAGCTGTAATCTGGTGCTTATACATATGTTTATAATGCGTCGAAGTGGTGCTGATCGATCTCCGTAGAAGCTGGACGAAGTGCCTAATCGGATAAAAATATTCCATTATATCACCGTAAATCATTCGACGTTGGAAAACTTAAAACTGGTCCCTTGGGATAATTCATTTATTTTTAAAGATCGAAAAGAATTTTTCGTCATACGCGAACCTTGTCTGTGGATTATCGATGTCATTAAATTTATGAAAACTGTGTATATTGACATAAGGGGTGCCATACATTGCTCTGTACTCTGAAATAAGTTATGCGGTGGAATGGACTACCGAGAGACGTTTTGCAACAACGTTCCATTTTTCTTTTGGCATCCGGTGTTACAACACGCAGTGGCTTTCCACTTTGTTGTCATTTTTCAAGCGTTCCTCGAATAGGGTTATACAGGGTGTCCCAAAAATGTTGTAATACCTTGAAAGGGGTGATTCGGGAGTTGATTTGAAACAACTCTTTCCTTAGCGAAAATGTTGTCCGAGGTTTCGTTGAGGAGACATTAACAAAAAACCCCGACCAATCAGAACGCGCGTAGAAAAGGCTACGCACTAGGCGGCCGCGCTCATAGGCTACCGCGGCCGCTCCACCAGCATACTCGCGCTCTGATTGGTCAGTGTTTTCCGTTAATATCTCCTCAACAAAACCCCGCACAACATTTTCGTTAAGGAAAAAGTTGTTTCAAATCATCTCTCGAATCACCCGTTTCAAGGTGTTAGAACATTTTTAGGACATCCCGTAGACGAAGCAACGATTACTGTTACAACAGATGGATGGTTTAGAATAGTTTAGATGCGTGTTACAGTTTATTGAATGCAGCCGGATACCCGATAACTGCCACTCGGATGAGCCCAGAAGTGCAATACATGAACGCGTTATCATTTTCGTCCAGCAAACGGTAGGAAAATTACATTATTCTGTTATCTTGTTCGTAATGTTATTACTGCTAATGAAAAATGATCTTCAGAAACGGCAAAGATGCATGGAGTTCGCGTAACGAAGTCCAAGCGGTTACGATTACAAAGAGAAAGTTGACTTTCGAAAGACACCCGAGCAAAGAAAAATTGCATGTACATAATGTCTTCGATAACTTATAAACGATATATAATTGTTTATCCATTGCTATTAAGTGTAGAAATTGGGTTTTATTTATCATTCACTGTTCGAATGAAATGCTCCCTCATCCTCATTTCTATACAATTTTTTGCGTTTTTATTATCTCGAGCTTGCGTAAATACCCGACATATGTTTGATTCCACAGGAAGCGAATTAAGGATGGCATACCAGTAACGGTACATTTACTATTCGGTTATTTAATATTTCCACTTCGGAGCATTTCGAGTGTACAGAAATGCAATCTTTAATCGAAAATTTTTCTTTTTCACGTTGGCAATATTAATAGTAAACAAGTTAATAGCAAGATTAATAGTCACTTGTTTGAAGTGAAGATTATATTTATCCTCGTTTGTTCGAATCTAATCTATGTACAGTTATCCTAGATTACATTGTTGTATATTGAAAACTCCTTAAATCAGAAGTCAGACTTTATCTAGATAAAGAATCCAAACTACGAAGAAAAATAAACAGCAATCAACACCTTACTTAGTAAATAAAAGTTATAATCTAAACTGTTGCGAATAAATCGTCAGTTTCATGTCATCTATTACACAGATGAAATTCTGTTAATTCCTGACTATCCGAGTAGTTGATTAGGTTTCCCAACTCGTAAGCCTTAATTATAACTTTATTCCTCTTTAATGTCAGCAGACGCTCGATCGTGATTCAGACCAGCAAACACATGTTTGGAAGAAGTGATTGACAAGAGTAGCAAAGGTGGGGAAGGTGCAAGGAAAAAGTGTCTCGAAGAGAAAACAATGCAGTGCGCCAATTCTGTGGCACGAAACGCCACAACTGATTTTGCCACGTTCGACCGAACGTGCGTTTCGCGGTGCGGGCCCCTCCCCCTGACCGTATCGAGTGGCATTCTAGCCAACCTTCTCGATGGAATCATTTAGAAAGGGATGAAAGTTTTGAGGCGGACCAGACAGTAACGACGCATTATCGCGAGTGACGGTATACGTCACGCTTCGTCTCGCGATACGCTTGACGGAGGAGCTCGAACGCGAAATACACGATCAACGAGAAACGCATACGCTCGCGGTAAAATAACCCGAGAAGGAAAAATCAATATTTGAGAAGAGTCATCGTGTCACGTTTCGTCGATCATGATTTCAGAGGGATACTCTTCTATGCCAGGGATAGTCATCGTTCGACTTCGAAACAGATCGGTTCGTGGATAATCCGTCGCGATTTCGGGGGACTTACGCGAACAAATCTTCTAGTGGCGTGATGGAGGCGGATTCACCGCCGTAATACTTGTTGCGGTCTACGTGGAGCACTCTTTTCCCACTGACCGACAGCATACCCGAGAGTATGCACTCCTTGAGCCCGGTGCCCAGAACGATCGCGTCGTATTCTTCATTCATGTTGCCGGAGATGCGATGGAATCGAACACAGCACCGAACTGACGATATACGAACACCTCGCGAGTCTTATTTCTCGGGAACGCTATGCGAATACAGGGAAACGTTAGCACACGGCCACGCGACTGCCAACTCGAACGACTATTATGCCGGAACGGAAGACCTCGTTCTTTCGCTCGCTACCGATGACGGAGCTGCTGGTGAAACGACGATGGTGGTGGTGTTGGTGCTACTACTGGTGGAGCTACCGCCGCCTATGACTCTTCCTACAGTCCGTTTACCGAGAAGATGAAAACGAGGTAAACAAAACCCAGCGACTGCGACACGGTGAACCAATAAGATTCTAACGACGTGCCGTGGTTCGGATCGTTTTCATCTTATCGGTGAATTGATAATAGGTTCCTGTCATTCACCATTTTACAATTCGTTTGCATATTATAAAAATGACGATAACACGACAGATTTCGGAAGCTGTGTGAACTTGCTTATCTATCGATGGTTGTGAACCGTACTATATTCATCTCTAGGTTGCTTTGAAACATATGCGTCCATTTTGATGTATATATTTGTTCGATTTGACAAGCGTAAACGGTAATTGCGAAATCGTGGTCATAACTGCAGAATGACTTTCAAGAATCACAGAAACGCAGCGTTAGGTATTTCCAGTGATGGGCAAAACTCTAGGCTTCGAATAAATCTGAAGTTTTCTGATATGTTTGTCTCGTTTCCTCTTTTGAAAATTTTCCAAAGAAGAAAACGAGACAAACATATCGGCAAACTTCAGATTTATTCGAAGTGTAGGGTTTTGCCCATCTCTGGGTATTTCTTGCTTTTTCAAAAAAAAGTTACTAGCCCTACCACCAATCAAGACTCTCCTAATTTTACGCGGGAAAAATATCTTGCAGAAAATGACATCAGACTAATTGTTACAAAATTACTTTTTCATTCATTCCTACGAACATTCTATTTCTCAAGAACGAAACGAAAATGTTTGATCTATACTTCCGAGAGTTAAATTAAAAAATCAACAAAGAATTTTTTACAGATCTACGCAGATTCCGAAGTCGAAGCTTCGTTAGTTTCACGCTAGGTTTGCCCCTGGTAAAGAAGAACGACGTCGCTAGATGGCGATAGCATCGGAAGTCGCTGTTGCGCTTGGCAGGTCGGCCGATACGAATTGTCAGTACGTGTACGGCGATAAGGTCATTCGCAGTCATTCGGTTTATTGCCGCGGATCGTAGAGGCGGTTAGGATTAAGAAGCGTGAACGGGAGCTCGCGTGCACTCCTCGGAGGGACCACAGGGTGGACGGTACACGATCGAAGGCAATCGTGATTCGGTTACGTGGAATATGATAACGTGTAAAAACAGTGTGCGGTGATAAGGCTTGTTTCCCAAGAGAGATGCATTGAGAGCAACACAAGCGGTACACGGTATACTCCGTTATTTTTCCTGTCAAAGCGAGGCAAGGGAAAATACTGTTCGTTGTTCCTCGTTGAATAGCTGGTGCGCTTGTCTGCTCTCGGTTTTCCACTTTGAGTGACGTCGCGCAGAACAGCCGAGGGAGACAAGCATGTGATACGCTCTTCAGAGTTCGAAGACACCGTGGGGGATACCTCTGTCACCCCTAGTGTTTTCTCGACCGTTACCCAAGGCCACGTGGACCACGTTGGGAGCCTGGAAAAAATGTGAGTGTAAATACGATTTCTTTCCATCGGCGGTGGGCAATATTTTATTCGAATAATAGGCGACGGATAGAAGTTCTTTGTAACTATTCATGTATTCACAAGTGTTCATTCGGCTGAACAGTTATTCGGTTGAGGTAGTATTCGTTCGACGTAAATCATACTTTGAATGCATTGTACATATCGCAATTTTTATCGAACGAATAACTTATCAAAGGTTGCTTATCTTTTACGCGTTACATTTTATGTTTCCTTTATCTTGATCCGAATTCTATCTTCACCCGCTATCACTACATCTTTCGATAATTGTGATATTAGTTTTTAATTGAATGTGATAATACACATCCACTATTATCACTTCTATTACATGGCGTAATAAATATACAGTGGGTGTAGAAAGTATTCGTACACCGATCAATTTCCAAAAAAACCATGTAAAATTGTAATTTATTAACTTATTTTTTATAAACAATGACATTCTACATATTCTTTGAAATCTCTAGAATAGATAGATTACAAAAAAAAATAATAATAGATATTTATGTAAGTTGGGAAATTAACAAGAAAAAAACAATTAATCGATAGAAATGTTGGAGCACTAAGTATTCGCACAACTGTTTAAAAGTACTTTACTTGAAATTTGATGTTTTCTAATTCGTACGGAGCAATAAACGAATGTTCTTACGTTACAAACTCTACTGTAAATGGTTCGTCATAAGAATCGTACAAATACATATTGCTTCTATACTTTTACCCACTTTTCGTAAATGTTGTTTGGACTATATCTATCTCAGAGACTTCCGAGAATATGTAAAATATCATTGATTATAAAAAAAGAAGTTAAGAAACTACAATTTCACACAAAAGCTTTTTGGGAAATTAATCGGTGTACGAATACATTCGACACCCACTGTATATATATATGAGAGAAAAAGGGAGGTGAGAAAAGGATTTATCGCATATTTGCTGTTTTTTTTTATTCGGAATCGCTATAGGTAAACGTGGAGGTTGTTTACAACACTTACGCGTCGCTAAATTCAGAGCGATCTCCTTGACAGAGAATGTTTTTAAAGCTCGAGTTTTATATTGCACTGAAATAAATTATAATATAATTAAATATTCGCATACTCAACAATAAATCGGTAGACTGTGAATTTGAGGATGGTGGGTTCGAATCTTCTGTCTCACTTTGCTACTATACAATGGGAACATTTTGAGAAAAATAGATAAGGCGTTTTAAAATAATCAAATCGAAAATGTTAATGGCGTGGCACAGAGAGACCTGGGTTGGAAATTCTTCCAAATTTTGATCGAAACGCAAGGTTTCACGTACCAGACCTTTAGAACCTGTCTGAGGATACCGTTGCCCGGCTCTCTGTTTCTATTTCCATTTTTCAAAGCCTTCTGCGTCGGCGTTTAGAGCGTTTACTTAATTATTACGAGAAAGTCTCGTCTAAATGCGGAAGCCTGAAATCGCTGTAGCGAAACGGTAACGAGAGAGTCTGGAAAAGGAAGAACATTGAACGTGTCCGTGCTGGAGGATTATCCAAGCCCATTGAAAAAATAAACGGTACACGTGTATCAGCCAGTAAAAGATACTAGTTATCGATAAAACAAAAAAAAAAAACAGAAGAAAATCGCAGAGGGGATTGCCGGTTAATCGAGTAGAAAGTAAGAAACGCATAATATTGGCATCGTCTGTAATTTATTTTTATGGACGAGTATTCAGTAGAACCTCGATTATGGACCATTATCCAAACCCTTTTTACACATTTTAAACTTTTAAACCGATCCATATACAATAAAGGATTTACCATTCGTGTGTTTAGAAATGGGACATACATAATGCATGGGAATACATAATGAGAGTGTAACTTTATAGAATTAAATCTGTTAACAAAATCGTGCGATTTAGTTGTAGTAGCTGTGATTCGAATAGTACGAATGAACTGTGAATCGTATATTCGAACTATTTGCGTTGAAATATTCGAGGACAGAAAAATTCAGCAAGGAGGTTCCTTTGGAACAGCTTGTCGAGGTTGACGAGTGAAACGAACGTGGTTCAATCGAATCCAGAGCATTCCTTTGTATTGTCAAAGGGGTCGAAGGTTACCGGTTGGGAATTGTTCGCGGTTCTTTTCTTTTTTCTTCCAAGCATCCGGTGGTCTCGGTCTGCAGCCACGAAACCGGTTACATCGGCTGTTCGTTTAGTCTCGTAGACTCTCCTAGAAGCGAAGGAAAAAAGAGAATCTATCAGAGCGAGGTCGTCCTTGTTCCTTATCCAGAAGGCCATTCGAGAGGTTTTCTTTTAATTGCATAAACTAATGTCACCAGAGGTAACTACAAATGTATTAAACGAAAAGGGAGATATAGTCTTTGATCCAAAACGGCCGACAGACTCTTAAATCCACGCGTGGGAGTACCGCACCTTCGAGTTTGTGTTATAGAAAAATTTTGAAGCTGGAGATACTTAATTTTTAGAATGAATAGCATAGAAATTACAACTTGTTTTCTTTTACGAGTATTAATGTACACTTTATCGTGGAATTTACATGTATCCCACCTGTTCCAAATTATATAATTAACTGTTCTAATCCTCCATTCATCAGAGTTTCGAGACTCCTATGCATCAACACCGTACTTCAAACTTCTTCCCTCTGCTGTTCGTAGCTCGCAAACGAGATAACGCCTCGCCAGATAAAGCTTTCGCTTGTTCGTGCCATTCTATTGTATTCCACATGTTATTTAATTTGACTAGTCTTTAGTGTGTAATGACTTGACACTTAAACGAGACACTAATAAAAATTTTGAAAGATTTATTTAACCAGCACAATTTTCATAAGAAAAAGTACAATATAGAATAAATAAAAATCGAATGTTTTTTCTCTTATGCTACTTTTTTCTGGTTTGCCGTATCTTTTCCGTTGATGTATTACTACTACCGTTAGCCAATTAGCGAGCAACAAGGATCGAAAATAAAGATAAATGTTCGATTAAATAATTACGAAGCACTTTGAATATACTTCATACAGACCGCGAAATTGTTTATGGATTTGTTTTAGAGCTTAGTCAAAATTACTGTCAGAAAATTGACCCCAGCATCGTATGAAGAATTTATTGGATGCTTTTCGAGAAAAATTGAATTCTATCGGTTTTTGCGCCGACATTGTACTAAACGATGAAACAGTGGTCAACTGAAGGTGAAATGTAGTTCGAAGTTAATCGACTATTATGTAGATAGAGATTAAGCTCGTTATTGACATTATATCTCACGCAATGCTCGCGTTATTTATCGTTTACACGTTATTTGCCAGTTTTTTTATATAACAGACCTTCTTTTTAACGACTCTATTCTGTACCTTTTATCGTTTGTTCTTTGAGCGCGGGAATTCTCTCGAGAAATATTAATATTCATTGTACCCACAGAGTGGGAAAGAAATTTAATCTCATTGGCCAATGGAAGCAACAATTAACCTACAAAATGGATCTTCAAGTTTCTTATATTTTATTTTAAATAGAGGAAGCATTAAGGAGGTCTGCTTTTAGCAGAACACCTGGTAGATTCAATGATCCGACGCTGTTGCACGTTTTGATCATGTTCGAGGCTCTTCAGAACTGCTGGCGTTTCAGAACCATCTGGGTCAGTTTGCGTCTTGAAATCATTGCGTCGTGAAACATATCCTCCCACAAAATATGTAAAAAAGGTCTTCTTTTTAAATAAATTCGTATAGACCTAAATCAAATTTTTAGAAGAAGGGCGCCCTTGCGTTGCTTAAGGGGTCTGGCCACCCTAAGCGCTCGCCAGATGGGTACTATTCTTAAAAAATTCATAAATGCGAAAGTATAGAAAAAAATATTTTTATGTTTTGACACATACTAAAGAACGGTTTAATGAACACATGAAAACATTTTTGAGATCACAAAAAAAAGATGGCGGCGGCTCGAAAATGTTGGTCAAGGCCTTTGGCACGAAACGCGCATGGACTGTACCATCGTTATATTCTTTAGGTTGCATGTGAAAAAGAAAAACAAAATATTACATCGTTTCTGGAGTTTGTCGCAAGAGAGTAGCAATTGGATTTTTTTTTTGATCAGTAAGAAAATTATGGTGAGCCGAAGAAATTTTTTGTTTATTTTTCATCGAAATTTCACGAGAAAAATCGTGAATAAAAAATAAACTAATCAAGTGTAATCGCAAAAATCCATTGCTACTCTTCAGATAGTGTATCTAAAAGTAGCGTGTACAAATTTCAGAGCAATCAGACCGATAGTTTACGAGATGTACGTTGTACCATTTCGAAAAATGTAGTTTCGAGATAATTCCAAAAGAAAGTAAACGTGCGGTCCGATTGCTCTGAAATTTGTACACGCTACTTTCAGATACATTATCTGAAGAATAGCAATGGATTTTTGCGATTACTTGATTCATTTTTGAATTAATTTTTTTTTAAGAATAGTACCCATCTGGCGAGCGCTCAGGGTAGCCAGACGCCTTAAAAATCAAACGACAGACCTTATCGAATGGCCATCGACGATCGAGGGTCGTTGAAAGCGAGCGTGGTGCAAATCGGTCGGAGGATTCCGCTGGTGATCGATAACAGCCATCAGGGCAACGTAAATCCACAGTTCTAATGTAAACGGACAATATCAAGGGTACGACGGTTGAGGGATGGAATTGGGTCACGCGAACATCGATGATCCCTAATCGGGAGGGTTGGTCGCTTCACGCCTGTAACGAGCCCATTACCACCGCCAGTTATTGCACACGAGCCTAATCTAACTGTGTATTCAACAGTACAAGGAAAACTTTGCGACAGCTACGTTGCCCTGAACACGCGTAGCCTCGAGTGGACAAGCGATGTGTCATTGGGAAGCTCTTGGCTTCGAGTGCCCTTTCACGGGCTCCAGGACACGTACACTTCCGGTTTGGTAGTTGTCAGCTGTAATTGTAATATCCGCAAGAAAACTTTATTTCCAAGGAAATTCAGTTTCAGAGGAAATTTAATTTACAAGTATTACATTTTATGTGTAAGTAAGAAGTTGTAGGACGACTTTTGAAACACCTTGTATCAGCTGCGATGTGCATGGATCATGAAACTTATGGGATGACCTCGATAGAGCAAAGAAGGCCGTGAATCCATTCTTACGATTGACTTACCAATAGAATCGTTCTCCTGAAAATTTTAAGAGCACATACATAGTTCGACACGTTATCGGCTGGAACTTGCTTCGAACGGGGTAGTTATAACGATTTGAGGACTATTAAAAACTATAGCAAGGAGGATTATCAGTAAGCAGGGTTTACATCGAATATTTCGCATCTGTTGATTTGTTTTGTTCCAATTCCCATTATAGTCGTTGCCGGCAGGCTGTTTGTAGGCCGTACTATCGATTTAAAACCATAATTTGTACGTATAATAATAATAGTGTTTCAAACAGAGATTGCAAATATAGATACTAGATACGTGATATCAGAGTCATGCGGGGGTAGAGAGGGTAACGGTTGGAAAGTATCAATTATTCGTGTTCGTAAGAGTATTAGTTTTCGGCCCTTCTCATTCTCGAAGCCAAAGCAATAATAAAAAACTACAAAATGTAAAAAAAAAAAACGTTTAATGTAGGTATACTAAGTTTCAGCATTCTTAGAGGTCTAAATAGTTTTTTATCGATCATGAAACCTAAGCCATTGATCTCCGATAATTTTCGACGACGCAAATCGATTCATAGTAGCGCACATCAGCGTCTACCATTGCCCCAAAGTAAATATGATTAAAGTAATCTTAACCGTTGCCGTCCTTCGGCATCCAACTGTATTTGTTTAACATATATTGTCCTTCTATCGGTTATTGCACGTAGTGAATACCCAGACGAGTGTTTGCCTGGCATCTTCCACCTTGTTTGCTCGTAATCGTGTCTCCAAATCATTATATTGAGGGCTGTGCTCCTTAAAAATAAAAATAAAAAATAGCGTGTCACCTTTTACATTGCTGAAGCAATCGTCTTGTGATTTCTTTGAATTCGATTTCTAAACTGTTTGAGCCAAAAGGTGCTCGATTCGTGATGTATTCAATATCACGAGAACGACGAAACGCGAGCCGAGCTTTATCATTTCGTAAACTGTCATGTTCGCAACGAATGACCGATAAGGGTGTTTGGCTTTCCCGCTTAGGCGTATCTGATCGCACGCTCGGTTTAGGCGTACAAATTGTGCGGGTGTTTCGTGGGAAGAAAGGAACGCGAGCATAAACGGGATCATTGTGTAAAATTTATGAGCGAAAAGTCGACCAAGGTTACAGGACAAAGGTTATCTCGTTACTTGGTCAACCGCTTAGCTTAAACACCCCTAATTTATATCAAATTCAGTACTGGAAACTCGCATTTTCAGGGAAATTAAACTTAAGAAGTTGAAATAAATATTTCTAAGAGCTTGGAATGTATTGAAAATAAAAGGTTTGTATTCCTCTATAGGGTGAACCACGACCTAACTAATCAACCCTCCAGATCTAATTCAGACCTAATTCAAAGCTACTCAGGCCTAACATTTTTAATATCGAAACATCCATTTTCAAATAAATTAAATTTAAGAAGTTGAAATAAATATTTCTAAGAGCTTGGAATGTATTGAAAATAAAAGGTTTGAATTCCTCTATAGGATGAACAACGACCTAACTATGATTAGTTAGGTTGATACCCCCCAGATCTAAGTCAGACCTAGTTCAAAGCTACTCAAGCTTAACATTTTTAATATCGAAACATCCATTTTCAAATAAATTAAAATTAAGGAGTAGAGATAGATTTGTCTAAAACTCTAGAGACCAACTTACACAGAATGAAATCTAAGGTTGAGAAGGTCCGACTTAAACAAGGGAAGGTCGATCTCGTCAACAACTATTGGATTATTCGGCGTAAGGTGGTTACGCGTTATTTTGTAAAATTAACCGAAGCACTGTGGTCGGCGGTAATCCATTCGTTTCTCTGGTGCCGACACGAAAAAACCTCTCTCCGTGTGTCCTTCTCTCTCTGCAATCTTATTAATAGCGTATCTGTGTCGGGGAAGTGCAAGTGCACCCACGATCGCGAGGGAGCACGACTGGAAATGCATTACGCTACTTCCTGCATGTCGTGAGACGCGCTAGGGCAGGCCTCCAATTTAACGATAAGATGACTTTCTAGAATCATCGAAAGCTCCGCAATAATTGTATCACCGGGGAATTCGATGAATTTTATTTAAACAGGCAGAATAATGTTAAGTTTAGATTTACCTTCAGCAAAATAAAATAATAGAGACTATTTACGGACAATAGAAAAGTCCTGAATGGGATTGCTACTTACAATGGAATACCTCGGCACACTTCAGAACAGCATGAAACTGATTTCACGCGTCCATAAATGAATTCAGGAAACAATCGATTGAAAACGTACCTCATTGTCTCAATATTTGCGTTGTCATGCCCTAAATCACGGAACTGCGAACAGTTTACGCGCTCTACCGTTCTTCTCCGGCTCCGTTTGTTTGTACTTCGTCGCTGGGTGTACTCAAAATCGCGTTTGGATATTGTTTCTCTATTTTTTAACGAAAAGGCCGCTGATAGCTCTATGCTTTTACTTACGGTTTCAAAATAGATGATACAAGTAGAAATTAATTCTGAGCCTTCCTAAAGTAAACTTCCCGTTTATTTATAAAGGAAAACCGTACAACTTTTGTAGTATTTTAGTTGTAAAAACAAAGTGTCGAAGTAATCCATGCGTTTTATTGTTAAGAAGTTTGTTACTCGAGATACTTGAGCTATAGGGGGCCCAGCACAAGACAGAGTATGTAAGCAAATGCAAATTAAAGTAAAACAAGAATGAAATTAATATAAAGAATAAACAAATGTAAAGCTAGTACAATAGATATTATATTTAAGTCACTCTATACCTTAATAATAAAACTCCCTCACTCATCTAACTGTCCTCTTCGAGCCCATGAATTACCCTCTGAACCTCCTCATCCACCGTGACTTTATTTTTCCCTCTTTCCTATACTGTAAAAAGTGTTCAAGCACCATTTCAGCTCACAGTGAACATAATCTGTCCCCAGATGTGCCAGCATGTCCGAAGCGGGCGCGCAGGAAGCAGCGAGCGAGGAGATCGACAGACAAGCGTCGGTTTACGTGTTCCCAGGATCTGGTCGTCAGCATGCCCCGTCGTCGACGTCCCCGCAAACGACCATCGCCTCCGTTTCCGACGTTACGACGGCCACAGCGACCACGACGACCACCGTGTTCGCGAAAGGCGAGGACGACGACGACGAGGCGTCCTCGCGAACAAGAAGATGGCCTTATCCTCGAACGCACGCCAGGTCAGCCAGCCATGGCGGGGTGTTGGCTGTGTCGTTGACGACCACAGGGTTGCAGACCACCGCAGGCTCCTATCTGGGACCTCTGTCCGCGATAGGGCCAGCGAGGCCCTCGGTCTTGAAGAAGCCTGGACACCAAAGGGCGTTCAGTCAAGGTCAAGTGGTCGACGTTCAAGGACACTCGGTGACGGGGCACAGCCGCGTCGGTTCCAGGACGGATTTCATCCTTCCACCCGGTCACAGGGAGGAGCCCAGACCGTCCATCGTTGGAAAGCCACCCTCCCAACGAGGCCACTCGCGCCAGGCGTCGAGGTAAACACTTGTATCTCCGTTACGAGGCGGTTCTGTCCGAGCAATTTGAGTCGATTCATAAAATTAACAGAGATTCAATTATTTATTCGTGTTTAATTAAAGCATAGATACAGTGCCACTCAGTACTCTTTACCTGGTTTATTTGAACTCCTCTATTATCGAAACTGCCTTGTCTCTGGACCTGTTCGGATAAGTGAGGTTCTACTGTACCTACGATTTTAATTTCCAACGCAATTCCCAATGATATTCCATTAGACTTCGAAGACCATTCCCTTTTATCGAGCGCGCTAGAATCAAGTTCGAGTTCAACGCTCGAAGGCACCGCTATTCCAGCGACCTCGTGATTTGTAAAAATCTCGAGAAAGCCATTACCTTGCGTACGCGTTAGGCTATCGAATCACGATCCAGCAGACGAAGTTGTTCTCGACTCCGTCGGTCTTGGCCCGCTCCTTTGAGTATTGTATACGCATTCGGAGCGGAAGAGGAGATTATAAATTGGTAGATTACCAGCGATAAAGTCGAGTGCCGTCTCGAAAACGGAAACCAGAAGGAAAGACGTGAATTCAGTGGCAGGGCTTTAATCTGTTCTCAGATCGGAGTCGATATACACGATAAGACGTAGCGCAGAGCCCCCTTGGTGGAGGAGACTCTGGGCGCGATGCTTTGGACCGTTACCAGAGGAGCCTCGTTTAAGGACAATAGTACCAAATCACTTAGTACCGCCGAAAACACCGCCGAGTCAGCATCCCAATGGAAATAGAGTAAACAATAGGTAATCAGACCCTCGGCATCAATTTTTCAATCACGTACTCGAGCACGCCATGAAAATTTACATGTTAAATTAGTATCGTACCATGGAATACATGTGATGAAGCATTTATTATTCTCAACTTATCCGTTATTTGTTATTTGTTACTCAAAGTTTCTACCTACACCCACATATTGGGTTGTCCCATAAGTTTCTTTCGTTTTATTAATAATTAATTCATTCATAATATTTTATGTTTTATGTTACATTAGAAAATTGTGTACAATTCATTCCGCTCCATTACTGTTACAGTATCTAATCAGTTTAAGAAATTAGATCGTCTATTTATATAAACACTGCCACAGAAAATAATTGAATGCAACTCACGAAAGAAACTTTTAGGACAACCTAATATTTTGTCCATCTCCGTGACTCAAAGTCTATTGCCCTTGTGATTTCAGAGTACGAACAACAAAGTACACAGTGCTGACCTTCCTACCTCGCAACCTCCTCGAGCAATTTCACCGGGTGGCCAATATATATTTTATATTTATCGTACTGCTTAATTGGGTGCCAGCCATAAACGCTTTCGGCAAAGAGGTGGCCATGATACCCGTGATCTTCGTACTGGGCGTAACCGCTGTGAAGGATTACTTCGAGGATCGTCGACGACTCAGCAGCGACCGACGTGTCAATAATTCCACCTGTCGCGTCTACGTCGGGTGAGTAATCTAACATAATAGATAAATAGGCGTTAGGGTTCCTTGCTTCGAAGAAACGTTCCTATTCTTCGATACCGTGCTTGCCGTTCATTAATCGTGGCTCGTTCGAGGAACGTAAGAGTTCCTGAAATCGCGTGCGACCAAGCTTCAATCCGTTAATGGCCGTGCAATAACCATTATTCCCGAACACTTTGCGAATTTGTAGTATTCGTGCGGACGTTAAAATTAATTGCCCGGATAATAACATGTTTCTTTTAACATTTAACGCTACACATGGTATACATACAATGTTTCCAAATTAAATACTCGAAGGCAACCGACCGTGTTTTCGCTCGCGGCGTTTCGAGAATTCTTTTAGCGTTCCTTTGATCCGTGGAATTCGATGGATCGGCTTCGATTGCCAGTTGCAGGCATGTAGGTCGAGCGCAGACCCCCGCGTTCCCGATCGAACGTCGAAAAGAAAGTGTTCTCTCTTTATCCTTTCGCGGAAGACAACTAGCGCGCGTTCCACGATGTTGTTCATGCTTGGAACTTTAATTTCCCGCCGACGTCTGTTTTGTGCCGTTCGTACCACGCTTTTAATACCGCCGTGTTTACAAGATGCTTACGCGGTGCTCCACATGCGAAGAGTATCGGCCACGGGACAATATAGCGCGAAAGCAAAATATTGTACGATGATTTTAAGTTTTAAGTTCGGGTCTCGCTAGGCTTGGATTTATAGGAGACCCCCAACTCTTACGATTATTATTACTTGGGCAATTGTTTGTTTAGAGGAGTGTAATGCTCTTGACGCCTTGTTTATTTTATTTCTAGCTTTACACATTGAAAGTTTGTGGATCCACGTTGACCATATGCTTCCAAGCACTTGATTATACGTTCCAACGACAATTTTAAGCCTGACGTCAAAAGATACATCTGTCTTTCACGTCGATGCCTTAACGACTAATGGCTCCAATTGAACCGACACGTGTCCATATGAAAGAAACCTGGTGCCAATCATTTCTGCACGTGGAAACCTCCCTTTACCGCAGGGTTTCCGCATGCGAAGCATATCAGGAGATAATGTCTGCTCTCTGAATTCGGTCGGCAGATGCGAGTCGCGTAGAAACGTCGAAAAGTGGCTGTTTGCGAGCCTCGAAAGCCAAGAACGCACACGAAACGCGCAGTTCGCTCGGGGTCGACTTAATCTCTCCAACCTTTCCTCCTTATGGTCATCGTTGGTGCAACCGAGCGCAAATGTAATTTTCTCGTTATAAGGATTCTTGTTTGCTCGACGGTTTTTAGCCGCCGCACGAAGAAATCCGCTTCAAGGTATCCCCTGCAATTACAAACATAGGTTGTTACATTGTTTTATTGATTGCGAGGCTTTCCATATCTGACGCAACTTTTTCATTATGCTATTTGTTTCTGTAAATGGGATTAACGCGTTAATATAGAGAGAATGTAAGGTTGCAAAAGTATCGTTGTATACCATTATCACTCCTCTGTTTTCCTGTGAAGTATTTCTAGACAGAATGGAATATAACATTTGGAAAAAAATACTCATGTCGAATTGAGTAACCTCCTCCTCTTCGAAGTCGGTTAAAAAATAATAATTTATTTCTATAAACAGGAGTAATTGATATGCAGAGAATCTCTATTTTCCTTGGAACATGAAGTTTTGGATAATAACAATGCACGATGTCGTCCCCTGATAATTTTAAACAAAAATGCGAGGTCCGCTATGATTCTAGACATTCTGCGATGCTAAATTAAGCGTTTTCAGTAGTCGAGCGTAATTATAGTCGATAATAGTCATACGTTGACCTACTCCGCGAGCGGCTACCCACAGAAACTCGTGTTGCACTCTTTCCAACGGTGCACTATATGATAATTCGATGCGGAAGTAGACCAAATAGATGACGCATACTCGAAGAGAATTCTTTCCAACGTGAGGTACAACGATCTAAAGATACGAGCTTCCTCGAAGTCATTTCGAGTAAGAAAATCGCGTCCGAGGGTCATCGGAGATCCTCGAAATCGAGTCTCCTCGAAATCGAGTCTCCTTGAAATCGAGTCTCCTCGAAATCGAGTCTCCTCGAAAGACTGCCTAGACCTTGCGTCGAGCTAAAAGGAGTAATCCCCACAATAGGCTCTTTTATTCGGTGTAAAGGGTGCTGCGAGTCTGCCAGGTTTTGAACAACCTGTGTGTTTCCAAGTTTCCATCTAGTATCGCCTCTTGGCCCATTTCACTTCGCTCGAGGAGCCACCCACTCTTCTAACCGGTCAGACGGAAACATATTGTTTCGACAGGGTCTTACCATCCTGGATTAAATAGTCCGCACGATCTCGTCAGTGAGTAAACGGTAGAATCGTTTGCTTAGAGACTTCGTGGTGTTCGATCCATGCTCTTCCAGCATGGAAGCCTCTGTAGCTGCTTCAGGTTCTCTTGAATGTTTGCTTCCATAACCATCTTCTCTCTCATCTCTTAACTGTACTTCGCTTATAAAATGGTATGATCTCGTATAAATCAATCAAACAACATTCAATTTGCTTCATAATACGTAAAGACGCTTTGAAAGTCTCTCTGAAAGTCGAACCGCATAAAAATGCCTATATCTGCATACGGACGCATCGAAACGCGCAGAGGTGCACGGAAACGCATCGAGTTGCATTAAAATGTGCCAAAAAGCATTACGTTGCACGAGAATGCATCCAAACGCCTGAAATAAATCAAATAAATGGAAGCATTAAAGGAGCTACCCTGTTCCCTCTACCAATAGCAACACATCGATCTATTTTATCCCTCTCCTAGGTTTTATCAACGTTTCCATGACTTGACGCATGTTTCCTTGATCGCAAATCTTCCAAGTCGCCGGTACAATTGCCAAGGCGAAGTCGAGATTGTTGTCGGGGAACGGGCGTGCCGATTTGATTAGAAACGACATATGGAAATAAGCGTGCCCCTTCCCCGTCGCAGAAGCACGATACCATTCGTATCGGTTAGCAACAATTGGACTGTATGTCATTCATAATGCAGCTCAATTCTGCTGGGCCAGAAGCGACGGATCGATGCGCAACGATTCCGACACGCAGGAAAGCCATTCGAGAGATAATACACGACGTGACCTTGCCCTTCGCGTTGCTCCTTTCGAATTGAAAGGTATGACTGCGCTTCCGCGAGGGGTAACAAGTTCGCGGAACGAATCGGTGTTGATTTATTAACGCGGTTTTGTTACGCGAACAGCTGATCGAGACCTTGGATCGGAAGCGCATTTACCACCGTTCACCTCGACACACTCGCTGATGGCTCTCTTTTCCACTCTGGATCGTCGATACTGTCCTATCGTGTACCATGTGATTTATAAATCGCTCTTTTTTATCGCTGCCGACCCGTCGTTGTCAGCGCAACGGCAAACCCGATTAATGATAGATCGCGTTAATTCGTTGCTTCCTGCGCTCTGTTATCCTTAATCTTGCGAGCTTCCATGCGACGTTATTATGCATCGCTTTACGCCGTTTCGCGTCGTTCAGAGTTAAATAAAAAAACATGACACGTGTGCCTATGCACACGTTCTTGTAATTCTTGTACATATAGGGAGTGCGCGAGTAAAGTAGGTCTGCTCGATGAATTCCTGGAAACGTTTGATCGCCTCGAGCGCGATAGAGCTTCGTCGCCACCCTTGGCCACGGTTACGCGGTCGCGCATTGCAGATAGAACCTCGATGGAAAAAAAAGTGTGTTTCACGGTTGGTCGTCGCGTGTCAACTTGCGACGCGATCCTCGAGATATCTCTGATTCGTTGATATTTCGCCCACGACCCGCGGCTACAGCCAATCCTGGGCAGAGGATGAAGATGATCGATGTGAAGGATTATGTTTCATTCCTTGGATGATGTCGGTGTAAATAATAACATTTTTATGGTACTTGGTGCGATTTTGTTAGGCGGACGGCATACTTCAATTGAATTGTAATTAAACATGTGTGCGCTGAAGGAATCACGTATAAGATGATTAAGATTGATTAAGATGGTGATTAACATTCAACTTTCCATGTCACGTCAAATGACCGTTTTCAAACTTTTCTATGCAGTTTTTATACACAATACGTAAATTATATAAAGTTATTTGTATGTGAGAAGAGTGAGAAGAATCAAGAAATTCATGAGACTCCAATGAGAAATGTTGATTATTTCTGGAATTAGTTTTATTTTTATATTACATTCTACTGTAATGTTCCATAGTGTGGTGTGAATTAAATTCACCTTTGTACTTCGAAACACAAAAAGAGAGATGAGATAATAGAAGAATTTATAAGGCAAGTCCAAAGAGAAGAATAGATAATATTCTAGGGTATGTTTCAAGCTTCTTACAGCAAACTGCAACAAAAATCGAAGATACTCTCCTAGCCAAACGACTTATCCCTGTCCGATTTAGCAATTCTTAATCCCAACCCTGATCAAAACCGCCATCCATCGATCGCGTAGGCTCGTGCCAGCTGGACGAGACCCGACCGTTACAAAAAGGGTCGAGGAACGTCCAGGAAGTTTTGTTTTTCTACTATTAGTCCCATTCGTCCGGAGAGAGGATCCGCTGGCACCGAAAGGAAGCTAACGGTCGTTTTCGAGGAGGCCAGACGAAAGGAGGTCGAGGAAAATGGCGCGCAGGCCGATTCCTCGGGGAACTTGTCGTCCTCGGAAGAAGAAAGAAGCGTGCTCTGCTATTTGAACCGCGATGCACGCGTCGATGCGATCTAGGCGTGATTAACGAGCGTTGCAAACTCGAATTAACCTAAGTCCACCGATGCGCCGGAGATACGCATCGCGTCATCGCGAACTGTAGGCCTGACTGTCCGACGACGGAGATGGACACGATTTCGCTAGATAGATAACGAATGAAATCATTTGTTTGCGATATTTGTTCGACGGAACGGCGGCATTTTTCAATCAAGATGGAAGCCCAACTAATTGGATCTGTTCGAGATAAGATCAAAACCCAAGTGGGAACGTTTATTAAAACTGG